TTGTTTTCTAAAATATTTGCGATCGTATAAGAAATTCGAATCAACTGCCACGACCTTTAAATTCCAATACGTAATCTGAAAACATTTACCGCACACATTTCGAAGTACGTATCTAATCTTCAAAGTCATGGCGATTAACGTGCACGCGGAACGCAGCTTGTTTGCAGGGTGGAGTGGCGAGAGGCTTCAGATATCTCGTAATTTTATCTGGCTCACGATCACAAAGGCGTGATCGTGAGCCAACTCGCGTTAGTCACCGCGACTGTAATTTACGCGATGCGCTATCGCGCGCGGCTTTCGTCACCCTGTTACGACGAGTTATCGCATAATAACGGTCTTCATGCACACGGTTATGGTCGGGAATGTTGACCCTTAAAGGCGAAAGATAACTCGGACGCGAGAAGAACCGACCGCGTGCGTCTAGGAGAAATATCGGTCCTCCATTTTACGTATTTCGCGTGAAAAAGAGAAACAAAGAGAGAGAGAAAGAGAAAGCTTTTCCTTTCTTTTTATAAACTAGAAATTAGACTGATGGGCGTCATTTTTTCACATACATCATTTCTTGAACAGTTTCCTGTATATATATATATATATATATTTTTTTTTTTTAATATTGCATCTAAAATTTTCAATCTTTCTGTCATCATTATCTTTCGCATCACCATTGCGATTCTTCGAGTTCAAAGTTTTTGGAAATATCCATTTTCCTTTCTTTTCATTTTTAATCAATGTCTGCAGAGAGAAAATTACATTTCCGGTTCCATTAGATTAATCCAATTTCGCAGACGATTCAGAAGGGGAGAGAGAGAGAGAGAGAGAGAGAGAGCCACGTTTCATGTAATTATAGTTCTATCTGAGAAGAATCGATTTTATTCGCCCGCGCGGTCCATTCGTCACATATATCACGGGCGGATTGAATAATTTACTCCTCATCCGCTTTAAGCGCGCGGAGTCATCGCGCAATGCTATATACAACAACGCGGGGAGATGGTGCCTTCCGAGTCGTCTGGAACGTGCACAGATCAATATTCCGCCACGTTACGTTCCTCGTTCCGCTCTCCTTCCTTCATCCCACCCAGCTGAATATTGGCATTGATTTTCATGGTTCGGGAGGACTCGTCACCCTCCCCTCGACTGCGGACCCCGGGCAGAACGTTCGGATTTAAGGTCGCTGTATACATTTTCCGACGTATATGTATCTATACAGGGTGTCTCGTAAAAACTATAACAATGTTTAAGGATAAATTCTTGAGATCATTTTGAAACAAAAACCCTAATATCAAAATGTCAAACTCTTATAACGGTATGTATATATAATATATAGTTATATATATAGTTTTTAAAAGCTTTTAAAGTTAGCGAATCGTATTATCTTAAAGTTCACGCACTTAGATATGGGTAAATGCCAACCACACTTAAATACGTAAACTTTAGGCGAGTCGTTAATTTTAAATGCTTTTAAATGCTAATTCAAGGATTATTATATTTGACATTTTCGTTCAGAATTCACAATACTTTCAAAAATAAAAGTACAATTGCTGAGATCTATGTATACAATACCTGTTTCTATCAGTGTTTCGATTTGATTAACTCTTTATTTTTTCTATATTGAAAGAAAACTGAGTACTAAATTGTAATAAATTATTTGGACAGTACTAATATAACATTTATTTATGGAAAATAAATATTTGCTGAATAAAAAAAAATATAATAGTTAAATCAAATGGTTCTTGTACTAAATATATATATATATATATGTTTACATTTAATAAATATTCGACTGGCACTATTCAAACAAATATTTACTAAAATTTAATATATTTTTCTGTCAGTGTAGTTCTAAGAATTAAAAAAAAAGGTACAATAAATAAAAATAATTAAAATTTACCATTGGTAAATGAGCATAAATGAGCATAAAAGAGAACAGATATCTAAAATTTCGTCTCGTTCATCCAAATCGATCGTTTTCACAGCGACCTTTAAATTTAGATCGCAAACATTGGCTACGAAGGGCACGTTACCGTTTTAATCTTAGAAAATGAAAGGATGAAGCTGCGACGAGAGTAACAGGAACGTGACGAAAATTGACATGTCACGATTAATTTTCGCGTTTATCATATTTGACGACATAGTAAAAGCGTAAGAAATAAAGGAAGACATAACGAATGTAGACATTACGTTTCTGTAAACTTTCGCTGTCAGATTTCATTTCGCGATATTATCAACAAACAATTTTCGCAAAACACATAGGAAGAATGCCTCTTAGACTCTTTCTTTTTTAATATTTATAGCAAAATGTTAGATATATTTTTAATATTTTTAAAATATTTAATCATAATTTGGATGTTTTCTCAAAATATTTTTTAATCAAAAAACTCCTAAATATAAAAAAAAAAGATAGATTCTATTATATTCTATTATTTGTATTAATATATAATTTTAAATAAAATTTTAAAAAAATGTTTTATGAATTATTTAAATAATACTCTTTTAAACTTAATATTCTATCTTCATATTTGATTAAAAAAAAAAATTTCGTTTGCAGTGAGCCAATAGCCCTGTTGACAACAAATTTCTGTATCTATCAATGAGCAAACGAATAGATACGTCGCAAGTTTAATGATGGAAATTTGTGCGGAGGAGGTGATTACGGGAGTAAAAAAAACGCATATGTTCACATCAACACATATATTTTGTTTTTGCTTATTGCATACATACGATAAACAGTACAATGTTACGCGTTCCTCGAGGTATGGTATACTAGAAAATTTTCATTATCCACTACTACAATTGCTATTCGACATATTGTTTCGTCATATCTCTTCGACTTTGTGTATTTGCGTTAGCTATATGAGAATCGTTCAAGAAGGAAGGAAAAAAAAGGAAAATAAACAGAAAGAAGGGCGATAGGAGAAAAATGGAACGAATTACGAGTGTGAGTGTTCCTCATTTCTTTCGCTTTCGATCAGGGAAGAGGACTATCGCGCGCTTCATCGAAGAGAGAAAAACCGAGATTGGCGACTTTGGGTGGCTTGGTCATCGTTAATAATGAACAATCGGATGGAAAACGAGCGAGTTGTAAGAGTTTATACCATCATCTCGACGTAATCCCGAGCATCATCTTAACACTTCATAACATCCTTATTTTCTGCGCGCCCCAATTCCGCTCATCCCCGGTTATCCGATAACGATAATGACAGTAACGATAGCAATGGAGATAAATGTAGAGCAACAATTAATTTGTATCGTAGTTTTACACGACAAAGCACCGTTTCGAGAAACGAAATCCCGAGCGAGCATGAAATGAGATAATTCACTGAAAAAAGTCTAATAATAGCTATCAAATATTAAATAAAATATTCAATTGATATAAATAAAAGTAATTTTATTTTCCTAAATATTTAATACTCTTTAAAGTCTTTAGAGTGAAATCTCACTGTAAAGAATGAAAATAGAATGATACTTGAAAAAGAGTAGCTTAATTTTCAATCTTTAAAAAGTTAGATTTAGGATGAAGTTTACTCTAATAATTTTAGAGAGTAAGTAGAGAGTATTATGAAATGATTAGTTATATTATTATATTTGGTAATACTTATTAAATATTTAAGAAAGTAAAATCACTTTTCATTATATTAACCAATTAATTTATTTAGAATTATTTCACTCAATATTTAGCAGCTATTACCGGATTCTTTTCAGTGTTCAAGAGATCCTCCTGCGGAATAATTATATCAATGGAGGTCCAAGAAAGAGATAGAAAGAGAAATACAACGGATACATATACGGAAAGTGCGACACAGTGATCGGACACATAGGATGATATGACACGCGACGACCAAGCCCTTGTCATCGAGAGAGGATCTCTCTCGGTTTTTTCCGGTACAAGGATTCATTATGGATTTAATATGTAAAAGGAGAGCTCGCGGGCCGCGCGCGCAAGAAAACAGATATCCTGCGTAAGGAAGATCGCGAGCTATCATCGCTGAATCCCGGCCAAGAGTTGTCTCCAAAGAAGAGTTATTCTCTCGGAACTCAACGGCGAGTGCCGCGTTACAGTTGTGAGAAGTATTACTATTGAGCGCTTCCCTTGATGTCTAGTTCGTCGCTGTCGGTGGCTTTTGTGCGACGCTAAAACGCGTCTAAACTTGTAACGTAAGCTCGTATGGTCAGGAAGATTAACGTAATCCGCGAGGAAAATTGAGTCAGTCTTGAGAAAAAGAGTGGCTCAATATTCAAACTTTAAGAATGAAATTTCACTCTTCAGAGATTTATTCTAAAAATTTTAGAGAGTATATGTATCTTTTGTCAATATATTTATATCTAACTGTTGACATTAAAATCAATATAGAAAGAAATAAAATATATTTAACAATCCATGATATATTAATTGCTTTACTCAATTAACTTTCGCCAATAGAAATGTATAAGAGTATAAGTTATATAGAACAGATACGTTCGTATCATTTTCGATCTTATACTTGTTTTTTATCTATCAGTTTTAATTACGATCGCGACGAATGTGATCATAATATCTCGATGTATCATCATATTAGTAACTTTATGATATATGATACGACGTAAAAAACGTTACAAGTTTAAACGCACTTTAAACGGAGACATAGCTTCGAAATATCATCCGCCATCGCTAAAACAAGGGAGCGTGCCGTCGACAAGGAGTCGAAGGATATCGAGTCTCGGCAGAAGCCATCGCAGCTCGATACAAGTGTATTCTCTCTCTTCTTTTAATCCTCTATTTTTCCAAGCGCTTCATTCTCCTGCGACAACTTCCGACAATCGCTCCCCTATCGCTTATGTAAGTGTATGTTTGTGTGTATACGTGTATGTGTGTGCCGATCTGTTTTGTACAAATATATACAAAAGGAGCCGCCCGCGCGCGCGCGTCCAAGAAAAAAGGGATATCCCTTTCCGCGAGAGGATCGCTCGATTGTCACGCGGAAGAGGATCCCTCCTCGGACGCGTCCAGCGAGTGCCTCTGCCTGCCTTTTTTCCCCTTCATTCTTTTTTTTTTATCGTTTAGACATAGCGAGTATGTGGTTCCTATTTTGACGGGCGTGCCTTTTTCATCGGTGAAAATGAAAAACCAAAAGGCCCTCGACTTAAGGTCTAGCGCATAAACTAAAGGCGAAAGTGGACGTTGTACAGTCGGACATATTATCATATTACATAATCCGCTTCGCGGAGTGACTGGATGGCGCGATGTGCTCACGTGTTTCACGTGATTCCTCTACTTTTTTTTCTCTCTTGTTATTTCCCCCCCTCCCCCCTCCCCGAAGACCGGACGAGCGCGATTGTAAGAAGCGCGAGTAAAACGCAACGTCGTATGTCATCGCGAGCGAGAAACCGAAAACAAGTAAGGATACGTCGTGTGTTTACGCGTCAAAAAGGCGTCTTTCGGAGAGATAACGACATATCTCGTTCGAAAACAAAGAAGGAAAGCAGAAACAAAAGATAGAGAAAGACAGAGACAGAGACAGAGAGAGAGAGAGAGAGAGAGAGAGAGAGAGAGAGAGAGAGAGAGACAGAGGATAATAATAATTTAATAAGACAAAAACGCAAAAACGAATATAGATTTTTGTACACTTAAAAAACATTAAAAATTCTTTTAGTTATACGCTTTATTAATAATGTAGGTATGTACACATATACACAATGTACAGAAAACCCGTGCGCTGGGTCCGAATATGTGTCCGCCGTATGTTTATATAATTATTATATAATACAACGAGTGAAGAGTATAAGTAGAAAGAGTATACAAACGAAAGAATAGAAAAAGGGGCGGCGATGATAGCCACGGAGACAGTACCTGTCTCTCGCGTTAGTCATTAATAAAGAGGCACGGCTGGTCTCACGCTATCTCTAACACTTCCTCTTAGCGCCAAGACAACCGTGTCTCCCGATTAAATCCACGATCTCCAATCATCCGATGGAGACGTGCGCGAAAAAAAAAAAAATAAAAGTACAATGTGGTCGCGTGCGTTTCGCAATACCAAGTCAAGTTTCCGTTTCGAAGTGTGCGTGAAATGTATTCTTGTACATTGTATATAGTATATACTTGTGTATGTACTTTTGTGTGTGTGTGTGTGTGTGTGTGTGTAATGTCTGTGCGTGTATCTGTGTGTGTATGTGTAAAATAACGCAGGCAATTATGCCCGCGATACAAGAGACAATGAAGAAAGGCATATCGAGCCTAAGTACAAACCCAACCGGGCAACAAATGATCAGCATCATTACTGTCGTCGCGATCCCAACGTCGCGCAGTGCTCCTCTAAATTTTCGCTCCGCGAAAAATAATGCGCTGCTTTTCGTCGTGTCAATTCAACCGATCTCTACGAAATCCATATGTACATGTGTGCAGCAGAACAATCGACCGCCAATATGCAAGTTGCCAAAGACTTCTTCTCAAAACCGGTCACAAAAGATAAAATACCGTACGATACCGATCACATTACTAAAACGCGTCATCAACCACCGGCTTCGAATAAAATCAAATCGTCCACTTTCCCTCCCCCCAACCTTACCCTTTTCTTTCGTTTTCCCTCCCCTCCCATAGTATTCCCCTTATCATTGATGTCAGCATCAACTTCGTGAGAATCCGTATCGCACCAGACAACGTCTTTGGCTCGAATCATTCGTTGGCTCTCCCGCGTGTCGCCAACGAGTCTTTATCACCGTTACCAAAAGCGTTCGGTGAAACCCTTCACGGTTCCAACCATATAACAGCTCCTCTGTACAAAGAGGAACAGAAAATTTGAGCCCTGATTCGACATTGAAAGAGGGTCTTTAAGATTCTCTTTCTTTCTTGACTTTGAGCCCGGTGCCCGCGTTATCCTCGCCTAGGATGGTAGCTATCTCACCCTGCATGAAGGCCCACGGTACCTGGCTGTTCGCCAGCGGGCATTTCTCGCCGCTCGGACAATAAACCTGAAACGAAAAACGAGAACGGATACCGTTGATGAGGATTGTTGGTGAAATATCTGGAAAAAGGCATCAAAATGCAATATTATAGATACTCACCTCTGAGCCGGCACCTTGTCTCTTTATGCTGTCTCGACTGCATGGGAAGCAGAACTTGTGATGTGGCACGCTGGGGCACTGCACAAAGTGCGTGTCTTCTAGGCGTTCCTGACACAGAGTACACTTGAGGGTCGGTGCCGTGACCGGTTCAGAGCCGGCAGTCGGTTGAGCAACTGCGCCCTCCGAGGATGTCGTCACGGTCGTGGATGACACCTGCCTTGAACTACTGGACCGTCTGCCCGACGAACCTGCAAATACAATTTTTTCGCAATCGTTATTTGCAATCCCTCGTTGCAATTTTACAAAAAGCTTGATTTTAACATTAAAAGGATTATTTTTATATATCGTATGATTCGTCAAGAAGTCTGATAAGATACAGATATAATCTGTAACCATAAACAACGCGTTTGATATCAAGATAACAGATAAAATATATATAATAATATGTGAAAAAGAAATATAGAGATAAATAAAAAAATATAATATTATTAAAATTACCTGAACTGTTCGGACTGTGCTGGGAGCCTCTAGAAGCACTACGTTGCTGAGCGTTCGCGGCTGTAGTCGGTGGACTTCTGCTGGTGGGACTGGGATTGTTCGGCGGCTGTGGTACCGGCTCAGGCGATGTTAGATTGTCAGCGACTGACATTAAAGCGGCCATTGGCGATGGACCATTCGCTGTGCCCTGAAAGAGGAAGTGTCATCGTCAGTTGGCATTCTAGAATTACAAACTTATTATGGATTCGCGTAGGAGTTCAGCAGACCAGAAGGCGCGCAGAAACGTTGATTGTGCGCAAATAAATATGAATCGTTGCCCATGAATGGAGCTGGCCGGCTGAAGCTGTTAGATAATTAACACGTATCTCGTGCGTACCTGATGATGATTCGATTGTGAATTATCGTTGGCGCCTTCCTGACTCGGTGGTGGCGGTGGTGGAGGACTCGTTCTTGGACGAAGAGGCGATCCTCCACCATTGGCCGCGACATTGGCAGGTGCCAATGGTATAGATGGCCCAACGTACGCTCCTGAAAAATGTATATTATATACCGTCAAATGCATGCTGTTTATATATATCTGCAACAAATAAGTTTACTAAATACGTAAGAAGTATACTAAATATCGAATTCCTGGGAACTTTTCAAAGCGACTATTTAGAAAACGTGCATTCACACACATTCAAGAGTTTATCCAAAAAAAAAAACGCAATAATTATGAAATACAATAAGTAAATTATACAGTATTATGCAGTTTTGTTTCTTGCTTTCTATCTTCTACTTGTTTAATTTGCTTTTTCTCCTTCCTACTATTTCCAAATATATCATTTTTTTTTCTTTCAAAATCCGATCATATTATTCAGGCATCTTTTTTAGAATTGTCTTTAATGTGCAAAGTAGAGACAGAATAAAAAAAAAATAGAATGAAATGAACAACACAAATAGTGAAGCAATGTAATCGAATTAAACACATTGTTCCAGTTATTCAACGCGATTTCGTTAAGTTTAATTAAATCAAGATTAAAATTAACCTATATTGGTAGAAACGGGCCTTAACTGTTTACAATAAAATTTTGAACTATACAATTCGTTGTTCTGTCCTAATCTTCAATTTTTCTTTTCAATTAAAAAATTAAAGAGTTAATCTACGTTAACAAAATAGTACAAGTATTGCTATAGTACTTAATATTCAAATTTCGCATTCAGATCGTTTATCATCGGACGCATTTCAGGCGTTTATCATCTCGATTTGTTCAATGTAGGGGAAGGAGCGTGGAGTGTTCCGCGCTACGTCCGTCTAATGAATACAAGAACAGAATCTACAGTTTGCCTTTCCTCTCCCAAACGTCTCAGGTCTCAGCTCGCTCCTTGTTGCACGTACACGAACGTGAGTGCGCGAGCGCTTTGGCCGGTCATCAAACAGGCCAGTCGACGGACCGTATCTGCTGTCGCTCTTGCCGCATGATTGATCACGACTGACGTTGCCGCACGGAAACTGACTGACGTAACGTACGTGCTTAACGTTCACGAAACGAGATGCTTTCGCGCAAGCAACCGGCGGATCATGTTCGGTTTCATTCCGAGCGTTCCGAGTCGGTGAACGTCGGATTTGAGAACCAATCCTTCTTCAATTAGCATCGCTAATCCATTATTGATACGTTAACTCGCGCGAATTGCGTCACTAATATAATATGTGAAAAATAAAGAATTGCTCGTGGCAATCTGATAAGAAAGTCGCTGGAGTTTGAAGTTTGTAATATGTTTGTTGACGCATTAAGTGCCTAAAAGATTATCGAATCCTCGGATTATATAAAGTATATATGAAGAGATAAAAATAATTAGTCGAAATTATAAGGCATTTTTTGTAATTATAAAGTTAAAATTATAGTTAATTCAAATTTACATTAAATCTAGTTTAATTGTATATATATACATAAAATTTAATTTTATATTACTAAAATTAAATTTAATATAAAACTAAATTCACTATAATCTCAATTAACTATAATCTCACTAAATTAACTATATAATCTCAATAAATTAGATTTAATTATATTTAATTTAGTTTTATATTAAATTATTTTTTTCTGTAAAAATGAAAAGTAAATGAGAACAAAAAACCGATTATAAAATGAAATCTTTATATTTTTCCATCTTTAATTTATAAATATTAAATTTTGGAATGACGAAATGTTCTGCTGAAATGGAACTTACATAAATGACAATTCTCAATTGTCCATGAGTAATAAATCTCGGAGGACGATAACCTGGTAGAGATTGGAACCGAGTGTGCGCGCGTGATATTTTCAAGACGCCCAATGACGTAGATGCCACGCAAACAGCTGAATATATAATGTTTTGTCGCGCTATTTGGTATCAGTCTCGTTATCTCACTCGATAATGGCTGCAAGATAATCACTATCAGCGATCGCGAACCGTCACGTTATCGCTGTTATTCAATGTGTACGAACTGCGTGCGTGCATGCGTGCGTGCATACATGTGCGTGCAGTTTATTAAAATATTTTAAATTGTCTAACCTAATAGATTTCATGCGTCGATTACAACAATATAATCGTAGATATTTATGCTTAAAAAATATGTGATCATTTTATTATCTATTTCTACGGAAAACTTTATAGAACACTTTTGAAATTGATCACGTGACTGTTGAAGTCCATTTTTTTTGTCACAAACTTTGTGACAATATTAAAACTTGATTAAAATTATTAATTAAAATTTTAACTCCCGGTATCTTTATTATTTAAGAAATATTATTTATTTTTTTTTTAGAAATTCATTACTACATCTTTCGGGAATATTATTATCCGTGACGCCGGATGTGATTACATCGTGTTATTGTCATGAAAATACTATTGTAACGAAGTAACCGAGGAAAAAAAGAAGAAGCTCATCAGAGAAGCAGGATTTGCTCGTTTTTCTTGCCAAGCTTTTTTTATTCTTGAGGTTACTGTTTCCGTTCAAAAGACAGCGTTCACGTTTTACGTATACGCGAGTTCTGATAAAAATAGATCACTGCTGGCAAAGATTGGGATCTGGAAATAAACACAAAGATTGTAGTGTATGTGTGCGTGCGAGGAGAGAGAGGGGGGAGGGGGAAGGGAACCTTTAAGATTCAGAGAAGTTCCGTTTGTTATTCGATTCTACCATCGATTATTGATCTTTCGCAACTAAATGATTGCTAGAGCTGCTTGACGACGTATTGCTGATTGCACATTGCGGATATAATTCCAGTACTCGATGATTGCGAATATTGCGTATATCTAACAGGAATTGAAATATGATTTCCAACAATCTCGATTTTCAGTGCTATAAATATAGGAAATGTTTAGCTTTACGCGAAACAAGGATATAGGATAACATGTATAACAAAGGTAGAAGAAATTTCATGTGAATTTTATTCACAGTTAAATACATTTTATATTTCTATAATTAAATAAAAAATATTTTGTATTTCTTATTGATCTCCATTTCGACAAATCAGTTGTTATAGCCATTCCATTAGCGTCGAAATTTAATTTCTCTGACGTTACAAAATACCTGATGTTGAAACTCGAAATCAACTATTTCTCGAGTTTCTATCTACACGCGTTTCCGCACTGTCATTCATCATCGCCGTTTACAATGAGCGGATGCTCTCGCGTGCTGACATAGTATCGTTTTCCTTAATGGAAACCGAATCTCGCAAATGGACATAACTTTACAAGTCTCCATAGCCATTTAATCCATTGTATTTTGTCGCACGTCCTGCTATATTCCTTCTAAAAATTGTCAAAAGTTTATAGCCAACAACAGACAATACATTATACATTCAACTGTTTACGTCATTATATCGGTTCCAATCTCTACCAAGTTATTATTCTCCGAGATTTATTACTCATGGACAATTGAGAAACATTTATGTAAGTTACGTTTCAGCGGAGAATTTCGTCATTCTAAAATTTAACGTTTATAAATTAAAGAGAAATTAATGGAAAAATATAAAGATTTCATTTTATACTCAATACTGAACATTCTTAATCATCTACATCTCCAAATGAGGATTCATGTGGATTCTCATAAGAAACACAAAATTCAAAGTAAATTTCTAACAAGACTTGAAAGACACGTTGCATGAGAATGATAAACAATTCCTTTTTAAAGTTTTTGTAAACAATTTCTTTTTAAAGTTTTTGCTAAAGAAATATATGGATTCTTCTCTTGGGATCCACTGAAGTTTCTTATTATTTTAGTTTTAAAAGTTTTAAAATTTTCAATATAAAAACTGCGGTATAAATATATCACGATAATCAGCTTATATGAATAAAAACAAAATTTGAAAAATAAAATTATAAAACATAAAATTATTCCAAGTCATCGTAAATTGAAAAAGGCTCCAAGATCGTCAAGATCCATATGTTACGAGTCAAATAACAGCTTGATACATCTATCTTATTTCTCGTAGAAATTCCCGCCCATTTGAAGTGTCGAAATAACGGTCGACAAGCACAACTAGCAAGGTCACCGTACCGCCCGCGCGCGTATGGTCAGGTTAGATTAGGCAAGGTTAGGGTAGGATTACGCGACACCAACGTCGCCGTCATCGTCACCGCATGATCGTCAATGGGCCGCGTATCTCCGCCGGCGCGAAAAGCCAGCGAACGGTGCGAGCAGCAAGAAAAGGGGGGCACGCTACAGTTATCCCGACACAAAATGTCACGACGCGTCGCGGCAAATGGAGGAGACAATCTCAGGACCGGTTTCGTCGCCACGATGTGACGCGACGTTAGAAAGACAGAGAAGAAAAGAGAGAAAGAGAAGTGGCAAATGTATATGTAGGATGATTTTAATATATTTCGTCACCCATCATGAACAGGTAGAGAGTCGAAAAGTTATCTATTATGCAGTTTACGCAATAGTTAAGAGATATTAATTACTAAAAATTGCTAAATTGGTCTTGAATAATTTTTTACTCAAATACTATCAACTTTATAGAAAAACTGCAAGAGACAAAAATCATTTATTTTCTTCTCTTTAGAATTTTAAAAATTTTTTCAGAATTTTTTTATCAACTTTTTAATACTGCATTTTCTTATTTTTACCAACATGAGAAAATGTATTAAAAAATTCTAAAAAATTTTTCAGAACTTTATGAGAAGAAAATAAATGATTTTGATCTCTTGTAGCTTTTCTATAAAGTTGATAGTATTTGAGTAAAAAATTATTCAAGACCAGTATTTGGCAATTTTTAGTAATTAATATTTGCAAAATTGCAAAATGGTAGAGGATTTTTCAATTCACAGTTCGATTCACTCTACCTGCTCATGATGGATGACGAATATGTTAAAATCACTATATATATACAGCTCATCTTTGGAATCTCTTTTTTCTTAAAATATTTATACCAAATGTTACATAATATTTTTAATACTTCTGAAATGCTTAGTCACACAATGTTGATACTAATTTTTTTTTTAATTTAATAAACTTAGATATAAAAAAGATTCTATAATTATATTGTTCTTTTATGCGTTAATACAATTTCGAATAAAACATTTTATGAATTATACATTTGAATTAAA